TCAGTGCCATAATTGTTCAATGGTTCTGTAACTGAGAGAGAACCCTGCACAACTATCTACTAATAAGACCTTCTCCACACTGCCTTTCAGGTGACCTGATATCACATCTTGTGATGTCATCAGCTACCTTATAGATTGTGTCAGAAAAACTCACTGGGGTGTCCGAAGCCACCATCTTTGGTTTGCAGCACTGCTGAAGATTGCAGGCAGTCAACCATGCAATTTTACTAATTTAAGTTGGTCTGATAGTGATAGGAGAAAATGCTCAATTAATTTGCTTAAATAGGGTTTCTTTTCAGGGAAAAAATGATCCTCAGGAATAGTACAGCTCCATCTATTGCATTCTGTTAGTACATTGCCACAAATTATGGGAAGCTTGTGCCCTTGAATGAGTTTTAAATTATTTGAGCAAAATTGTTCTGTGAACAAATAGAATTACATATTCCACATGCCATTGAGGAGCACAATAAAGATATTTTTAGATTTTGGTTGCAACCAGAATGAAAAAGGCATTTTTAAAATAATGTTCACAACAAACAATCAGTAAACCTACTGTTGAAGAAAAAGAAAATTCTTCATTGAGAATAAATAAAGTCAATAGAAAAGTGAGAAAACAGTTTAGCTGATCCATGAGCATAAATAAATCAACATTTGCCCATTATTTCTGTATAATTAGTGATAATGTAAAGGCTGGAATTAATGCTGGGCTTTTCTGGATAATACAATGCCTCTAGGCTTGTGTGCTATTCCAATGGAAATGAATCTTATTAAAGTCATATGTGACACCCAGTGTGATGGTAACAAAAAAAATCTGTCCTCCTTCATCCTTCTCATCCCTCCTCATCCTTGATATAAATGTCCATACAATCAACAGACACCTCTCTACCATAATTAATCTTGGTAGGCTAAGACATCTGCTATCTATCTTATCTGTCTGCTATGTAGCTAGCAAATCAGCTGCTTCACTTCCTTCTTTCACAACATTACCTCTGGCACAGTCCTAGGCTGTCCTTAACTTGTTGTATGAGATAATTGTTCTTAAAGAATCAATATAGAAATTGCATCAGAGATAGTAGGAACTGCAGATGCTGGAGAATCCGAGACAACAAGGTGCAGGGCTGGATGAACACAGCAGGCCAAGCAGCATCATAGGAGCAGAGAGGCTGACGTTTCAGGCCGAGACCCTTCATCAGAAAAGGGGGAGGGGAAGGGGGTTCCGAAATAAATAGGGAGAGAGTGGGAGGCGGATAGAAGAGGGATAGAGGAGAGGATAGGTGGAGAGGAAACAAACAGGTCGAAGAGGCGGGGATGGGGCCAGTAAAGGTGAGTGTAGGTAGGGAGTTAGGAAGGGGATAGGTCAGTCCAGGGAGGACGGACAGGTCAAGGGGGCGGGATGAGGTTGGTCGGTAGGAGATGGAGGTGCGGCTTGAGGTGGGAGGAGGGGATAGGTGGGAGGAAGAACAGGTTAGGGAGGCAGGGACGAGCTGGACTGGTTTTGGGATGCGGTAGGGGGAGGGGAGATTTTGAAGCTTGTGAAATCCACATTGATACCATTGGGCTGCAGGGTTCCCAAGCGGAATATGAGTTGCTGTTCCTGCAACCTTCGGGTGGCATCGTTGTGGCACTGCAGGAGGCCCAGGATGGACATGTCGTCTGAGGAATGGGAGGGGGAGTTGAAATGGTTCGCGACTGGGAGGTGCAGCTGTTTATTGCGAACCGAACGTAGGTGTTCTGCAAAGCAGTCCCCGAGCCTCCGCTTGGTTTCCCTGATGTAGAGGAAGCCACACCGGGTACAGCGGATGCAGTATACCACATTGGCAGATGTGCAGGTGAACATCTGCTTGATGTGGAAAGTCTTCTTGGGGCCTGGGATGGGGGTGAGGGAGGAGGTATGGGGGCAGGTGTAGCACTTCCTGCGGTTGCAGGGAAAAGTGCCGGGTGTGGTGGAGCTGGAGGGGAGTGTGGAGCGGACAAGGCAGTCACGGAGAGAGTTGTCCCTCCGGAAAGCAGATAAGGGTGGGGAGGGAAAGATGTCTTTGGTGGTGGGGTCGGATTGCAGATGGCGGAAGTGTCGGAGGATGATGTGTTGGATCCGGAGGTTGGTGGGGTGGTACGTGAGGACGAGGGGGATTCTTTTTTGGTTCTTATTGCGTGGACGGGGTGTGAGGGATGAGTTGCGGGAGATGTGGGAGACCCGGTTGAGGGGGGGAAGTTACGGTCCTTGAAAAACGAGGACAACTGAGATGTACGGGAGTGGAATGCCTCATCCTGGGAGCAGATGCGGCGGAGGCGAAGGAATTGGGAATAGGGGATAGCATTTTTGCAGGAAGGTGGGTGGGAGGAAGTGTATTCTAGGTAGCTGTGGGAGTCGGTGGGCTTGAAATGAATATCGATTTCTAGGTGGTTGCCCGATATGGAGACAGAGAGGTCCAGGAAGGGGAGAGAGGTGTTAGAGATGGTCCAGGTAAACTTAAGGTTGGGGTGGATTTCACAAGTTTCAAAATCTCCCCTCCCCCTACCGCATCCCAAAACCAGTCCAGCTCGTCCCTGCCTCCCTAACCTGTTCTTCCTCCCACCTATCCCCTCCTCCCACCTCAAGCCGCACCTCCATCTCCTACCGACCAACCTCATCCCGCCCCCTTGACCTGTCCGTCCTCCCTGGACTGACCTATCCCCTTCCTAACTCCCTACCTACACTCACCTTTACTGGCTCCATCCCCGCCTCTTCGACCTGTTTGTTTCCTCTCCACCTATCCTCTCCTCTATCCCTCTTCTATCCGCCTCCCACTCTCTCCCTATTTATTTTGGAACCCCCTTTTCTGATGAAGGGTCTAGACCCGAAACGTCAGCCTCTCTGCTCCTATGATGCTGCTTGGCCTGCTGTGTTCATCCAGCCCTGCACCTTGTTGTCTCTAATATAGAAATTGCAATCAGCTCCACCCATTCTGATAATGTCACCCAGCCTTAGGGTGGAGAATCAAATAGTCCTGCACGAGACCCACATGGACACAAATGTATCATCTCTGCCTCCTAATAATCTTAAATAATTACGCTAAACCCATTGTTATCAAGCAAAAAACTATACTTTGTTAACAAAGGTAAGTGCCTTTTCTTGTGAAGACCTAGCAGTAGTTTATCCTCTACCATTGATATTTAAATAGGTCTTTAGATTGAGCATGCTAAGGAGAATGGAGAGTAACAATATTTTGAATTGATAAGTTTTTCTTCCAATTCTGCATTGACTGTTCGATTTTATTTTTGTTACAGTGTCCCACCAGGGTCTAACTATCCTGTTAAAGTTTTTTGTTTAAAAGAAAGGAGAATTGATTTGTAAGTTGTTTTTGAAATTTTTGATTGTTATTTGATGCCCTTCAGGATCTGACAATTTTAATTTTTGTTAAATTCAGTTAATTGAGGAGTAGGAGGGGAAACTAAGATGTGACTTGAAGAGGATCATAGTACATGACTGGATTGGACAGATATTGGAAAGTGTAGCCAAGCAGAAAAACTTTGGCAAGGGGCAAGATTTTGCTATCTCTGAACCAGGTTTTAGTCAAAGCCAGGTGGTAATTCACACACCATAGGATTATGAATTCAAGGGCCTTGTCCATGAATGAACAGGCCTTGAGTGAACATGATGCTGTGGTAGGATCTTTCTGAAAAGCACAGGGGTGTCCAAAGGTGATTCCCTACTCCCTTGTCTGATATTAGCCTGTGCTGTGAAAACTGCAGGGCTCCTCACTTGGTGTTGGCTTCCCATATTGTGGCTAATAATAGTGGGGGTGAGATGAGGCACATAGTTAGCCATTAATAGACCCAAGAGCAAGTGCAGTACCTAATACATTCACCGCCCTCCATAAAATGGGAGATTGGTCAGGGCATATGGTGGGCAGAATTTACCTGTGAGCTTAACCCAGGTGGATTCTAGTCTGGAACAGTGGTAACCCAGTATAAAGGAAGATAAATAACAACAGGTTAGAGACCAAATGATGGAATGAGAGGTGGCATGATTAGGAGACAGAAAGGAGAGAAAAATAAACAAGGACCTGTGAGAGACCAACAGGCTAAAATA